ATGTGGTACATATGCACATGCAGTGATTTAGCGATTCGATTCAAAATGGCCGACTGGCAGCCATCTTGTTTTTTGAAAATGTTGTATTTTGGACATGCTTTGTCAGTTGTCATTCAAACTTGGTACATAGAATATACATGTTAGGATACATGTCCATGACGATTTATTTCGCAATTGGATCAAAGATGGTCGACTGGCAGGCATCTTGTTTTTGTTTTTTTATGCGGTATCTTGGATGTGCTCTGTCAGTTTTCATTCAAATTTGGCACATACATGTACTTTATACATGTTAGGATGCATGTCCATGACAATTTGTTTCAAAATCTGGTCAAGGATGGCCGTTTGACAGCCATCTGACTTTTTGGCCTTACTACTATATTTCCGCAATTTATGTACCATTTTCATTCGTATTTGGCACATTCATCATACATATCTCTGTGTTTCATAATCAGATCAAAGATGGCTGAATAACGGCTGTTTTTATTTTGGTCATATTACTATGACACGAAACACGTGTTTTCATGTAAATAAACAATCTGTTGTATACGCCACTTGGAACTCAAGTTTCAAGGACACGCTTGCGACAACCCCTCCGCTTTAATATGACAAGCACAAAGAGAACTTAACGGGGACTGTGTCATTTTCAATGACTTGTTTTTTTAAATTTTGAACCCCAAATAAGCGCCCATCAGCCGTGAAATCCCAAGGGCGTTTTTTGGGATGGGCGAATTTACGGCAGAATCCGGTATTATATAAAGAAAGTATTATTATGGACATTTTGCGCATATTGCCGATGTTTTATACTGTTTGTAGTTTGCATATGAAAGTGGTTGTTGATGCCCCTCCTATTATTCGACGTCGTTGACAATGTGATAACAATGCCACTCGCACTGTGCACATTTTAGCACTAGATCTAGTGCCATTTTAGCACTAGATCTAGTACTTTTTTGGATTAGTGCTACTAGCACTAGCCACTCGCACTAAGCCCATTTCGACACATTTACATACATGGTCATGTGTGAGACATGATTTATAAAATTGTGCTGATATGGAATAATTTAAAATAGTTCTACATATTATTTCCCAAATATTTGCTTATTGCTTTGCCTCTTCTTCCTCTGAATATTCATGTATCCTTGAGGGCAGAGCCATATCACAGAAAGTTCTATATTGCTAAGTTGTGCATAACTGTATCGTGTATTTCTATGGGCTCTGCGTAAGCTGCTGCAGAACGTCGGTCAAAAAGCCAGTAAAAAACAGCTAAAGTCGAGGAATCAGCACAAATTCAACTTTGAAGTAATCCTGAGCAACCAAATTTATATATGTTGCACTGTTCAGGGGAGTCTCAATAGCTATCCCAAAGTACAGTTTTCTGAGACTTTTCGGCATTTGTTTTCACCATGATGGTTGCCATGCATTAACAATGCCTGGATTTCTGCCCCCAAGAATAACCGAAAACGACCCATGAGGTTCTGTGTGTAAGCTTAGGAAATCGGGGGCACTACGTTCGCATGCATGAAGGCACCGTATCAGCGCTGTTCAAAATTCCAGCAGGCCATTCCTTAATGCACTTGATGAAATTGTAAAATATGTCTTTCACAATTTCAATTGAGACAGCCCTGGAACAAAATCTTCATCTTGTTCCACTACTATTACTAAAGCAAAGTCAACAGTTATATAATCAGATATTACATATTCTTATTGCAAATTTTGGGGAAATTCGGTTGTTAATTTGTTTAAGGTTTTGCTAATGTTGTAACCGGCAGTCGTAATATTGTATTTTTATTGGGAATTATGATTGTATATTCCGTTGCTGCCATCTGGCTTGTTTGGGTTTCTAGGTAATAACTGCAGTCAATAAACATTATGATTGTACTTTGGTATTTTATACATACTGGTTGACCTGATATATCATGTGAGACTGAGAGAGGTAAATGATATGGTAGGTCAATAGTGAATGCTATCAGACATCCGGTTTAGAATAAGTCCTTTAGCCTAAAGATATGAGTGGACATTCCATAACAGTTCTGTAATGATTTTGAACTTGGTACAAGTATTTCCGTCTAGACAAATACTAGTACTGCGTTTAAGGAGGTTCTTATCAATTTTCGTCTTTTACTTGGGCTATTCACATTTAATATACTGTATTAACTTAGGACTTGTGCTTGAATTGACAAGTGCTTTATGTCTCTAACAAAGCTTGAGTGAAAAAAAATGAATAGCATAAAGTACCGGGGGTATTTATAAGATAAGCATATATAACTGGTGTGATATATGATGAAGATCTACTGTGTTGATGGTTATCTGAGTTCCATACTCTTTATAATGCCTTTATTGCATGCATACAAGAAACACTTTTTTTACTGAAACATTAATGAATTTTCAGCATGTTAAAAAAGTGTTTTTTTATTTCTTTGAAATTTGAAAACTAAATCACCAGCCATGCTATGTGTATATGTTTTAAGTCTTAGAAGCTGTATTTTTTTTTTTAATTAGTGAATCATTCATTTGACATTTGGAGATCACTGTATATGCAATATGTGATAAGACTGATGAACAATTTAAGCTTTCTGTACTAACACTGAGGGCAGATGAAGATTATGCTTGCAGTTAAAGTAATTAAATAATGTAACTCAAACATTGATGTCAAGAATATAATATTGGGAAATCAACTCAGTGTTTCTCTCAAAAATTAATAGAATCAAAAGGTAGTACATGTACAATAATCTACCCCTGTGACTGACTTGATTCAAATTACCGGTAACTCAACACTTATCTACATTTCATCTTCTGTTATAGTGAATCATAGGGTGGACTCGTAAAATGCTGGACAGTTTTTACTGTATTCTTTCTATTAGTAGCATAAATTACAGTAAATAACTGGTGTGTTTTAGGTTGAATCAAGTGTTAAAATAAGCCAGTGTTCCATAAATGCAATTTTTAGTGTTTGTCGGCTTCTATTAAAAATGTACTTCTGATAGAAAAATTAGATACTTAGAATACTGGTACCAGTGTGTAAATGACGTATTACAAAATTAGCATAAATGGATCAGTGTACTGTGAAATACTTTATTTTCATTTGGAATTAATTTCTGCTATTTTCGCTGAAGGAATAATTCAATAAAAATTAAATCTAGCAAATATACCCTTTTTCCCCTAAATTTTTACCCAACTCACCAAAAATCAGTGGAAATAAATTCCATACAAAACACCCTGAATGTCTATTCAGCAAAGATTAATTTCAGCTAGAATAATGAGCTTTACAGTAATGCCAGTAAAATGTTCAAGTAATGTACTGCTAATGAAAAAGTATATCGGGTCTCAATTTTGAGATGTCACGAACACATCGTGTTCGTGTATTTTACAGGTTGATTACTGGGTTCCTCAACTAACATTTTCTTTTCAGGTTGCACACTACATTGTATATATTACTGACCAAATGTAGACATTTGTACCCAAGCACCGGAAATAATTTGCCCAAGAGGTGTCGACAATCGATATACGCTCCAGTGGACCACAAAATATCTGGGATGTTCCTAAACCATGTATCAATTTTGCGTGAAAATGAGAGTATTGTATTGCATCATGTGTTGTATTTACCTACTCACAGTAGTGGTCTGTTTTCTGTTATTTTACAGGAATGTCCATTGGCGAAATCATTACAGAGAGGGGAGGACCCTCAGTTTGATCAGGTGAGGTGAAAACACTGCAATCAGCATAACAAGTATCAACCCTTGACACTTGGTGAAATTAGTTACTCTGCACTTGACATTGACGACATACAAACATGACAACTAACAATAAATAGTTGAACAGATAAACAAATTTCATGTTTGTAAAAGTAAACCAATGATTAGATACATGTGTGGCAATACTTGCATTCATGCACAGCTCCTTAGCATGGGCTCAGGGGTCAAAAACGGCTACCGGGGGTAATTAAGTTTGTACTATATCCTGTGCTGACTGCTGTATATTCTCCAATGCGTCTAGCCGGTATGCAAACATACAAGATTAGCTCATATCTTAGGTTGCACTTGGTGTAGCCTGAACATGACCAATAAATACAATTTATGCCTAGAACATAACATTCACTTTTGGAGATCCATATTTGGACAACTTGATTTTGGGGTACTTTTTTCATTCCTGAATGAATGAAAAATAAAATAACCTGCAGCGACTCAAGAAAAATAACTTTATTGAAACAAAGCTAAAATTTTAGTTTTTGATTTGTAGTGCGTGTCACAGTCAAGCTGTGCGTCTATAGTGAGTTTTAATTTAGTTTGAAGTGAAGGATTTTTCAACTTTCAAAACAAGTGCCAAAATGTCGGGAGGATACACAACTTTATAATAATGAATAATGCTCAATTGTTGCTGTAGTTTGTACTGCTTCTAAATTCTTCATGGTGAATATCAGATCTGGGATGACTTAAAAATAAAACAGAATCTGATGGATGATGCTTTTGTCATCTATATAAACTCTATCTCATATTCACCACCAATGTCTAATGTAAAGAAAATGTCACTTTGCTTCACCCCCCCCCCCCCTT